TTAACTGACTGGCCAACGCACATCTCTTCTCGGGGGTCAGAGTGTAGAAAAATGCCAGCAAGGCAGAAAAAAAGAAAGAAAAATGTTGGAAAATAAAAAGAAAGTCGTCTCAATAAATACCCTAATAATGTCCTCATAGAAAATTCCATTAACTTGATAAAGTATAGAAAAGAAATTGCTTTTTCATTTCAGAAAAATAATACCAAAAATTACTTTAAAAAATAGTTCTTAGAAAAGTAATGTCTATATTACCTTCCAAAGGGTATTAGAAAGAATAAAGCAACAGACACTGACTGTGCGTGTCCTGGTATTTATCTAATTGTCCTATGCACCATACATACACCCCTCTTACTGTCCTCCAAGGATTCTTGTGTATTGACCAGAGTCTTTAAGGACGATTTTGCTCAATTTCTGTGCTAGATAAATGTTTATGCGAAGGACGAAATGTGAAACTAATGCGACATTTGTGTAAATGTATGTGCATGTTTGAGGAACCTATCCTGACCACCCGACCAGCCCGTTTAATGAATATCCCAGAAGAAGTCAGAAGCGCTGACGCATTTCCGTTTCCTGTTTGTTTCTCAACGGAACAGGAATGCCAATTTGGATATTTTTTTGGAAAGACCAGCTCCTTTTTGATAAACAAATTCCAGCCACCACTTGTGGAGGCGGCTGCTGGCCAAACACTCGCATCTCAGGGAGGACCTGCGCTAATGTCCTTGAATAAGAAATTCATATCATTAATTTGATTTTGTCTCCCGGCTCTCAGTGACAATTTGTCAAGTCCACCTCTGGGTGTGCGAACGGGGGTACTTGGATACTGCATTTCGAATGAAATGTAATTGCTTTGTAAGCCCTACCCATTAGAGCCCGGCCTGGCCAGCCTGGTCGGCCTGGCAAGTGCGTAGGCAGCATAATGGGAATGTAAATAGTTTGAGTTGGCCAGAACAGGCCAAAACGGAGCGAGACGAGCTGGAATTAATGGAATTGCATTCCAGCGGCAGATCCTCGCATTTGTGGCCGATTTCTGGCCGGACAACGGGGTAGCCCAGCTAATTGGCCAAGTGAAACATGGTTTACACAACATAACTCAACTGAAAGTGCATAGAAATGGCAACTTGGCATAGTGGTATCTTTTAATTAAACAAAATTTTACTTTAAACTCTCTTATTGAGAAGACAAATATCCTAGGGATGTTTAATAAATATTATCCAGATACCATTTTTATCTTTCCATAAATATGGGAATTTTCAGATGCACAAAAATAAATAAATCGTATCACATCAATGCTATCTTTTCTTATTTGACGGACACCCAGCTGCTATCTGGAGCCCACTAGGAAATCAGATAAAATGCAATTTAGAGCCCGATATGGATATGGACATGTAAATATTCCGCTCGTCTGACGAGTCCTGGGCCCGGAAACACTTATTTATGAACGATTCGGGCATGCACAAATTTCATTGAGATCAAAGAATGCTCTGTCATAGAAAAACAGCTGAAATTTATTGCCAGGTGGAATTTTTATATGGATGTTCAAATATTGTATTTGGCCGCCCACTAGTGCCGGTTGAGTTGGCAAGCACGGAGACCCTAAAATATAATTAGTTTTTGGACTGCAGCTGGTAAGGCCCCCCGAAGCGGAAACCATTTTATCAAATATTTTATTTAATTATTTCGAATATTGGCATATCCTTTCTTTTTTCTCCCAGCCATTCTATCCATGTATGCACATTTTTTGGGGCCCCAGGAGGCCAGCCGGTGTATATAGTTTGTTTTTAGGGGGTTCCGGCCATTATTGTGCACCGTTGTATTGCGGTGATAAAATTTTGACAGAGGTTTGTCGGCCATTGAGCCCCCTAGATCCGGATTCCGGAACTCAACGCCCATCGGATTGAACTAATTAGACGGGTTGGCAAAGCGAAAATGTTGGTATTAAAATTGTTGAAAGCTTAAAATTATGTTTATGGATTGGGGAAATAAATAGGAATATCAATGGAGGTAGAGGCTTAGAGCCATAAAAGCTGAAACTATATAGAACCCTAACTTACCTACTTACCTCCTCAAAACTCCAAACAGTCGCTGATTATTATGGGAACAACCGATAAATTGCAACATTGACGTGTCTCTCAGTTCCCCGGACACCAGTTTATATACGGTTCCACCCCGGGATCTGCACTCCGGCGGAAGCATGTGCGTGAGCTAAGTGCGGCCAAAGTTCAAAGGCGACGTTAAACGCCCATTAAATTCAGTTTCGATATGAATGCGATATCGCCCCCCCCCCCATCCAGCCGGATTCCTGGGAGGGGTCACATGTGATTAGACCTGGCCGCGGTCACGCCAGCCAAAAGTCCTTCGCCTAGCCCCTCGCACTGCCGTATCCCCATTGAGCCATAAATATTGGTAACACAATCTAAGCTCTACAGAGGTCAGGGCTCGCAGCTTGAGGTGCGAAAAGTCACACACACACGCCATCTGTGCGGCACCCACTCCTACTTGCCACCTCCAATCGCCTCTTTTAAATCGCTACAAAATTGGTTTTCAATTTTTAAACGCCTCTTCGGGCTATCGCCTGCTAGGTGCTAGGCACCAGGTCCTTGCTCCTCGATTTCAGTCCTTGCGTGCCTTTGCGTTATGTCCTTTGTCGAGTAGGACCTCCCAAAAACCCCCTCAAATACACTTTGAAATTCAAATGGATTTTAAGAATAGAAAGAAATTATTACACTTTTTAATTGTTACAAATTAATAAGGATTTTTAGATTAATTAATTATTAATTTCTAATTTATTATTAGTTCATTGTTATTAAGTGGAAATCTATTTAATGTCCTGTGTACTACTTTATGTTTTATACATGATTTTTCCACGCGTTCATTCGGATTTTGTGGAGTAGTTACCCGGCTCCGGTGGTGCTGGGAGCCGGGCCATAACTCAAGTGAGGCGTTAATCTGTGACACCCCATGCTCTCCCAGGCGAACAACATATGTTGGGTTTGGGGCTCCGAGCCGGTTTCTGAGTAGATGTTTGTTGTAGTTTGGCTTGCATTTTGTCGCCGGTTGACAAATGGCACAAACACGCTCTTGAAGGGGTTAATTACTCGAAGGGTCAATCGACCCTGTGCCCTTTGTTCACTTTTATCTTCCATTTATGAACAATGGAAAATGTTGCCAAGCCAATGTTGCAAAGGGATGTTGCTAGACAGCAACTAGCGCCATCTACAGAAAATCAGCGAAGACTCTGGAAAATTTCCCTTTAAATTCCCACAAATTTCCCTTTTCATGAAAAACATTCAGTTATTTGGTTTTTTCAAGTTTTTTTTATTCATTTTTTTGTTTTAGTTTTTCTACTCACTGTTTTTAACATTTTTTTGTGTTGGTAATTTTAAAAAAATTTTTTACTTTTTTTGTTTACGTTAGTTTAGAAATTTTTTGTGGTTTTCCGTTTTACATATACATTGTAATCATATATATGCATCGTATAATTAATTATTAATATAATAATAGTAGTAAATATTACTCTTTATGGTTTAAACTATCACGTTTTTCACAATAATCATTTCTTTCGTTTTCCTTTCGCATTTTCCATATTTAAGTAGCTTACAAAATTACTTTTAATAGGGCTTCCATTATGTTCATTTCGTAGGTGTGTTGTCATAGATTTAATTTTAAATTATAATCGTATATAAAAATTGCAAACTTAAAGGGCACATATATAGTCTGTGGTTCACGTGCATAGTGTATATCGGTGTATAGTAACTAAAGTCAACACTCTTTATGTGAAAAACAAAATATGATAGTTGTGTGTGGCAGAACTACATGTAAAAATACGCAACAGCCGAATGAATTGTCGTCGGACATCTCTCTTACTTCATTATTATATGTATTTATAATATTGATAGATCGTTAAGCTCATACAAAAGCGAGTGGCCAATGTGCTTGCATGTGGGTGGCTTGTGTGGCTTGTGGGTATGGATAATAAACTTTAAAAAGCGACATCTAAAACAAAAAAATAAGAAGAGAAGCGGGGGAAATATATTTACAGATATCTAACGATTAAAGAAATATTTAATAAAATGTTTTTTGCACTTTTCGTATTTGTGTGTGTGTTTTTTTTGTGGAGTCTCCTTGCTTATGGGATACGAGCGAAGCAAATATCGAGGAGCTGAAGGACCTTTCGATCGATTCATTGAGAGAGTTTTCTAAACTGCTCCACATATACATATGAATATATATGTATGTGGCCTATAAGTTCGAGATGCAGTCACGCTTTACTGTCCGATCCTGTCTCCCTAGGTCTGATCTAGATATAGAAGCAGATACATGTATATATAGTATATATAGTTATTATCCATATTAAGCTTAGATTTGATTTCTCACATATGTTTAAATTTAGATTTATTCACTATGCGAAACAATATCTTAATGATTCGTTTAATATTTTTTTTCGTTTGCATGATTTGCCGTTTTTGTAAAGTTTTAAACTTTTTTTGGACTTGACAATTTTTTTCGTTTGATTTTAAAATTTTTTTGTGATTTTCTTGGGTTTTTTTTTGTTGTTTTTGTTTATAGTCGTAGTTTTCTCGAATTAAAAAGTAACAAGTGCAAAAACTAATGATAAAATATAAATGGTTTTTGACATGCTTCTAAATGCTTGGCGGGGTACGAAGTTCTGAGGTGTTCTGAGGGGGGGGATGGTCGATATAGACTGGGACAGTGCTGTGCTACTGCAGTAGCTATATTTCTGCCGCTCTGGCTAATGGCTTAAATAACTAAAATTCGCTGGCACTTGAGCCCCGCATGCCTCAATTGGGTGTAAGGATTACAAGTTCTCGCTGCCTCCTAAGCACTTACATTTTACAATTGCGCTCAGGTCAGACACAAATCATAATCATAAGAATAATAATATATGCATATGCAAATTGTGGCTTCACTCTGGCATGCATACGCTCTACAAATATAAATATAAATATATGTATATATATATATATATATGTATATATGTATTCAGTTTAATTTACAAAATTTATTTGAATTAAGATCATTTGGTTTTGTTGTTGTTTCTTGTCGTGTCTATCAATTTCGTTTGATTTCTATATTCAGTTTTCGTTAGGTAAGTATTTGTATAGGTTACGGGTATTATCTTTAATAGTATATAGTACAACAGTTCATTGCATTACGTCAACTATCAACGCTGCTCTCTAATTAGGAAAATTTGCCTTGACTTTTTTTATTCATTAAGTTTTCATTACAAAGAAAATAATCACCAGGAGAATAATCAACAGAAAAAAAATATATTTAAGGAATAGTCGTGTTAACTCTCCAAGATCATGGCTGGTTGGCACTGGTACAAAGCAGACAGACCCCGCTGTATGTTATATTGAACATTGAGCATTTCGAAAGCAACCATTCGTGTTTTCGTATTTTAGTTTTAGTTTAGTTTTGTTTAGTCGAGCGGATGCGAGAAACAAACAATTAGAATCGTAACTACTAAACCAACGCGCTAAGCAAATTGCAATAAACAAATTTCAAAAATTTCACTTAATTATGCTAAACGCTAACGACTCTACCCACTTTACGCTTGACTCAAAATACTACAAAATAATAATAAGAATGAATAAACAAAAGGTCGGGGATTGCTTGCCGAGTTCCCTGAAAACTAACTCGTAAGTCGTAGATATTAACTTAAGCCTAATCCAAAGTGTGTCTCTGCACGTGTGACGTGTAACTACTTCTTCGACGACGAGGAGCCCGATGTCGCTACTGCTGGTGTTGCTGCCGCAACTGCTGATGTTGTCGGTGCTGCAGCAGTGGCTGTGGCTGATGCTGCTGCTGATGTGCTGGCCCGGGAGGGATTCGTTTGTGATCCTGCCCCAGGCTTCGATTTCTGTTGCTGCTGCTGTTGTTGCTGCTGGTGCTGTTGTCTCTTGTGGTGCTGTCGCAGCTCGTGCTGTGATCCCTGATTCCGGTTGACGACCTGTGGCTTGTTGCCCAGCGACCCGCTGCGGATGCGCACTGTGCTGCTCCCGAAGGAGCCAGTGCGCCGACGGTTCTGCTGCTGGTTGTAGCCACCATATCCCTGCTGGTGCTGCTGCTGATGTTGATGTTGCTGTTGCTGCTGCTGCTGTTGGTGCTGTTGCTGGAGCAGCCTGCCCACATAGTCACTGCGATTTGTGATGGTGGTGTTCAGGCGGCGACCTCCGCCCGTGATCACGGCCGTGCCGTCGCTCTCGGACACGCTGCGGTGCCTGTTTAGCTGGCGGCCGGGATTAAGGCTGCCCACTCCCTGGAGCATCTCGTTGATCTCCGGCTCCACCACGCGGAAGTCCTCGATGTTCTTGAAGCTCTTGAGGTACTCGGCCAGCTTGGGCTGCACCTCCAACTTCTCGCCGTTCTTGTAATACTTCAGGAAGGCCCAGAACTTCTCGAGGCCATACAGCTGACCTGCAACACAAGAAATAGAAGGTTATAGACCAAGTCCTCCCAGACCAAGTCCCAAGTGTAATGCTTACCTGTCTCAAAGTCGGACACCGTCTCGTCCTGGAAGTCCTGATAGATGTTCGGCCTGAACTTCTTCTCGAGTCCGTAGGAGAAGAACCGGAAGAGGCACTCGAGGCCATACCGGAATCCGTTGCCGGCATCCTCCAGTGCCAGGGTGCGGAACTCGTTGTACATGCTCTTGTTGAAGTTCTCGCGCAGGAAGAACGACCAGAAGCGGTAGAGGGTGTTCATCTCCTGCGACTGCCCGAACCCGAGACGGCGGCGCTCCTTCAGGCAGCGCGAGTGGTACTTGTGGTAGGCCTGCTGTGTGAAGTTGTTCTCCTTCAGCAGAGCATGCGATGGGTGCTGGAACACGGGCAGCGACTGCGGCACCGACGAGCCATACGACCCATAGGAGGAGGTGGTGGGCGAAGTGCCAGCCGAGGACCCCATCGAGGTGGTGCGCGGCCGGTGCTCCACAGTGTCGAGCAGCCAGCCCACGTGGGCCTCCACCGGAGGGTTGGCCGTGTGGCGGAGTTTCCTCTTGCGCGGGGTCCGGGGATCGATCGACTGGGAGTTGGGTGCAGCATAGAAGCGAGCACGTCGGGACTTCAGGGTGGAGTTCAGCGTGGAGTTGAGGGTGGTGTCGCCCACCAGGGTGTCATCGGCGTCGGCATCCTGCTCCAGGTATATGGGCGGCGGTGGTGGCACCAGCTGCTGCTGCAGCACAGACTTCTGGCCGCGTCCGGCCAGCTTCTCGAAATCGGCCTGGGATATGACGTTGACGGTTCTGTAGTCGGGCACCACATTGGTGGTGGTCCACAGATCCTCCTCGTAGTTGACCAGACCGTCGTTGATGATGTTCTCCAGATCTTGGGTGATTTTCGTCCGGGATGTAAAGTCGGCGGTGCGGTCGTAGCCCTCGTGCTTGGGCGCCCGTCCCACCTGGGCCACGATCAGCAGCTTGTTGATGTCACGGTCGGCAAACTCGTAATCGGACTCGTCGTCGTCGGAGAAGTTCTCGGTAAAGTGGTTGATCCGTCCGGTGCCAGGCAGGGGGTCCATCAGCTCCTCGTCAAACTGGAAGTCTAGTTCTTCCTTTTCGGCATGGCACTGAGCGGATGGCGGAGCAGCTGTTTTGGATGAGGATTTGGAGTGGGTATTGGAGTAAGCAGCATTGCCAGTTGATGATTTCTTAATGTTGTTCGTGGTGGTTGTGGTTGAGGTGGAGATTGTGGTGGTGGTGACGGTGGTTTTTGTGGTTTTGGTAGCAGTGGTGGCTGAGGCTGAGGCTGAGGCGGTGGCGGTGGCGGAGGAAGCTTTGTTGGTAGTAACACACACAGAGGCTGATGATGAGGCGTTGGATGCGGACGTGGACGTGGACGAGGACGTGGACTTGGACGAGGTATTGTTCGTTTTGACATTGTTGTTATTATTGTTGTTGTTGTTGTTGAGCGTTTGTGAAAGCGGTGGCTGTTGTTGCTGTTGTGGTGGTGGTGTCGAGGTGGTGTTGTTGGCTGATTTAGTAGCGTTTTCTTTGATAGCATTGGATGGTTTGGAGCGTCTCTTTACCTCTTTCCATATGCCCTCCGGCTCCGCCACCAAAGCAGCTGCCCCGATCGCCGTCGCTCCCTTACCCGCCGCGGCCCTCTTGTCCTGTCCAGCACCCGACTTCGGCTTCACACTCTCCGCCAGTCCGCTCAGATGGCCAGCCAGCTCGGCGGCCCCACCCTCCACGTGCTGGGTCAGCGAACTGATGGCGTTCACCGAGTTGAGGGCCGCGATGGAGCGCTGCTGCTTCTCCTGGAGCATCTTGGGCACCAGATTCTGAGAGTTGCGCGGCACTGGTGGTGGCGGAATGCTGCTCAGCGGCTTCGTCGCCATCACCGACGAGAGGATGGGCGGCGGCGAACCAGCGGCTGCCTCAGTCTGCTCCTCCCCTTTCTCCTGTTCCTTCTCCCCAGTGGCCGGCTCCTGCTCCAGCGCAGTCGGAGCAGTGGGATCGGCGCCCGGGGCCTCTGGCACATCGCTGATGGGCCAGGCAGTGGGCGTCGTCTTGGTGCGCACCTTGTAGCCCTCAAAGAGCTCCAGCTTATCCGATTCCTTGATCGCGTTCACTATCAAGGCCACGTCGGTGGTCAGGGCGAGGACGCGATGGAAGGATGCGATCAGAGTGACCGGGATGTAGCCCTCGGGGTCCATTTTGCGGCGCAAAAAGAAGTCGCCGGCCAGGTTGTCGGCACTGAAATAGTATTCACTAAAGGGAGAAGAGGTCAAGGGTCAATCGAGGAAGTACAATGGTGATCTAACGGATTTGGCTACCAAATCCTCGAAAGAAGATAGCTGGGTATGGTTGGTTTACTTACACTTGCTTCCTGATGGCCTCCTTGACGCTGTTGGCGTCCATTTCGATGTAGGCAGCGGCGGGCACATTGCCGAAGTAGTGGGTGCCCATGAGCACGAAGGACGACTGCGAAGGGTCGGCGCCGGCGGCGTCCGCCGGCAGATAGTTGGCATACTCGCCCGAAGCTAGCAGATGGCGTGGTATGCGATGAGTCGGACGACCTGGTCCCTGTCGGGAGAATCCGCCCCGCCCTTGCCGCCCGCCCCGGTACGGCGTCCGGAAGCGCCGCTGGCCGCGGCCCGTAGCTGCTCCCGCTGCTGACCCGGCACCACCCGCTGCTGATCCAGAGCGCTGGTCATCGTACGATGCTGCTGCGGTGCTGCCGCTGCTACGCCAGGAATCCACGCGCTCGGACGCAGCAGTCGCTGGCCGAGCGGAGTACGGATGCCGGCCAGTGTGCGGTTGGCGCGATCCTTCTCCCGCTCCCGTCCCCGCATCGCCGCCAGCTGCTCCTCCACGGCCTGCAGCTGCATGACGCTCGTGGTAGGAGCGCGCCGGACGGCGCTGGTCGGCAGGATCATCGCTGAGCCGGCGATTGGGCCGCCCGCCAATCGGCTTAGGGCGACTGGACTTGGCCAGATCGATTTGCAGCGGACGCCACTTGAGCTTGGGCATTTTCTTGGTGAAGGCAGGCACGGCAGTGGTTCCAGAAGCTGCTGGAGCAGCACTGGTTGCGGCAGCTGCTGGCTCAGCGTCTCGCTGGGCTTTGGCATCATGACTCGTGCTGGCAACGACAGGTGCGGCAGTTGCGTTTGCTTGGCTGTTGCTATTGCTGCTTGTGGCTGTTGTGGCAGAGTTCGAGGTGCTGCTGCTGCTGCTGGTGGTGGTTGCGGTGGGTGCTCCACTAGACTCTGTTGGAACTTCACTTGGAGTGACTCCTCCTGCGACTGCTGCTGCTTTGGCTGGCTGCTGTTTTTTCGTTGGATTGCGTTTGGGTTCGTTGCTGGTGGCTTTGCCACTTCCGGAAACTCCGCCAACGAGCGTGGGCCAGTCCCCGACGTTGCTAAAGTCGCTAGCCTGCAACGATGTCCATCAGTTAGACTGATCTTCAAGCCACTATGAGTGGGAACTTACCTTCTGGTTGACCTTCTTTTTGTCCTTTACCACGACTTTGGCGAGTGCATCTGACTGGCTGGCGTCAACTGTAATGGAAGGTGGATTGGTTTGGTGAGCATGGGTTTTAAAAATAAAGAAATCAGGCCATGTCGTGCCTCTCCCACAGACCACTCGGAGAGACCAGAGTAGGGGGTGAGCCACGTGAGAGAAACTGAGTAGGGAGGGAGGCCAGTCACATGGTTTAAAATTTATAATAATTGAAAGTTGGCTGGACTAGTTAGGGAGACCTACACCCTATTTATAGAAGCATCCACCCCTTGTCCACTTGCCTCCAATTGAGTCGCTACTCACCAGTGGTTGTGGCTGTTGCTGCTGGCTCGGCTGCTGCTGCTGCTGCTGGTGTCGCGGATGCTGCGGCTGCTGTGGCGGCTACTGGTGTAGGGGCTACTGCGGCTGCTGGTGTGGATGTGCCTGCTGCTGGGGCTGTCTGTGTGTTTGTGGCTGCTACTGCTCCCTGTGGAGGTTGCTGTTGTGTTGTCTTTTTGTGGCTGGGATTGCTGGCGGTGTTCTGTGCGCTCTGGTTGCTGGTGCTACTGTTGCTGCTGCTGGCAGTCGGCTGCTTGGCTTGTTGTGGTTGCTGTGCCTTGGGCTGCAAAACACGTTTGTCCAATGGAGAGGTTCCTGCCTTGGGGCTTCCAGATTGTTTGGCTGATATCTGTAACGAAGATCGCAGCTATGAGTCTCCAGTTTTGGTGAAAAATCAATTCCCGACTTCCCAACTCCCAACTCCACTTGCATGCGTGGTTGCGCACCAAGGAGGGACTTGTAGGGGAGTGTCCCTAACCCAGATTCGGTTCAAGACAAGGGCCAACGCGCACCCTACTCTTCTGCCAAGAGAGGGTACTTTTCTGTTGGTATCTACCGCACTCGGCACACTTGGAAAATTACCTCCTTTTAATTGCAGAAACTATGGCGATTTAATCAGCCCACTTGCTGGTTTCTTTCTTATCTTTGTTTGTTTTGTTTTTGGTTTTTTTTTTTTATTAAAAAACACTTTTGCTTCCACTAGCACCTTAGCACTGTTTATTTTTGCTTTATTTGAACAAATGACTGGAAATTCTAAACTGAGCGCGTCCGTTCTGCTGAAACGTTCGGTGAGTTCTGTGCGATAGCTCTGGCACTTTGATTCGTGGACGCCTCTGTCGGCGGCCTGTGCTTGTGCCTCTCCTGCCCTCAGTATTCATTAGTGGTGGTGGTGGTGTCCACGCGCTTGCTACGTGAGCAAAAACGAAGACGACAACACACAAAGAGGAGGCTCAGGGGCGGGGGTATACCAACTGGTTTTACAGCGCAACATAAAAAACAAGTACAGTGGAGCTCAAATAATGAATATATCATTTAAAAAATAACACTATTTTTAACTACGATTTTTTAAAACTTTATTTATAGTATTTTTAGTTTAAAAACCTTTTTCTTTTTTTTTAATTTAAAATTTTCCTTTATATATAAACTCCACTGTATACTCATTTTCAAAACAAAAACAAAAAACAGCCGATGCCGATGCGCCGGTTCACGGATGCGAGAGAGAGAGAGCGTGAGAGCGAAAGCAAAGGCGGCGGCGTGAGCCGCAGTCTAGCCGGCAGAGAGTCAGCGCAGGCACCCTGTATCCAGCAGATACAGGTTTTCTGGCTGTGTGCGTACGTGCCTTGTGTTTATGGTTTTGTTTTTGTACGCATTTTCTAAATGTTGTTTTGATTCCCCACGAAAGTTCACCCACCGACAACGCCCCCCTGCATATCGATCATTAGAAATCCCCAAACAGGTGCTATTTGCAATTAATATTAGGCCCACAAAGGAGGTCTTCCACTTTATAAACATAAACACAGGCCATCCCGCTCGCACCACGATGTAATTGTAATACGGGGGGATAAAAAAAAAGAGATACAAACAAAAATAAACATGTGATTTTCGGCACGTAGGCCAAGTCGAGGAGAGTTGGTGGAGGAAAACTTCAAAACAAAGAGAGGCAGGGAGAAGAAAGACTAAAAGAGAGGAGGATAATGCGTAAATTGTTGCACAAAAGATAGAGATACATATACCTATCTATAAGATATAGTCTATGAAACCCCTTCTAGATATTTTTGTTTATGAGGCCTACTTTTGACCTCAAAATATTATCAAACCATCCATCAAACCCCCAAACGTGTAAACAAGATATGGAAGCCATGGACTTGTTGTTCGGCCTTGAGGTTCCATTTCCCAACCCCAAACATTGCACTTTTCCAAGTTATGCTAAAATATGGAGGCACTTTCCATGCCTCGGATCACGTATTCATCGGAATTTCCAAGGCAGTCATGGAAATAACCCTGACACTGCAGGAAGGACACCTCCAGTACTGACTGAGTCATCCACTTGCTTGGTAGTTTTCCACTACATTTCCACTCCAAGGAAATGGCATCAGTAACTTTCCATTAGGAGGGAAATCAAAGACAAGCACATGTTTCAAATTCTATATTTGAACTGGCATGTTTCTTATCATTTTTGGTCGTTTTGAACCCCCACATCATACCTAAATGCTGACGTACTTGGGTGTTTGCCATTAAATTCGTGTACTAGGTAGAGATTATAAAAGTCATTCATCGATAGAATGCTTGTCAAGGTCATTAATAGTAAACCCCATACCTTAAACTAAAAATAAAAATAAAAAAGAAACTTCCACTTGCCAATCAAGAGAGTTCTATGCCACTTTTATCTTAAAAATCAAGTCACTGGTTCGTGCGATCGCCGAAAGACAACTGAGGTGCTTCCAATGCAAAAGCACTATTTTAAATGGAATTAGAATCGGCCTAGCACGCCAGTCATGAAATAACACAAAAATACTACAAAAAAATACTACAAAGAGAACACCCAGCACCCAGTTGGGGCAAACGTGCAAAAAGACCCACATTCTGGTGCTCCCGTGCTGGTGCTCCAAGTCAACAATCGTTCGTAATCAGCTCTAAGGTTATAGTGCAGGCGGGGGTCGGCCAAAGGGGTTCCATAGGGGGGACTCTTTCTGCGTTTCAGCGAATTAGAATGCGAGTCAATAACGCCGGCCGCCATATAGGTTATGTAAAAATATTTAAAAATTAAAAAGAAAATAGAAAAAATAAAGAAAACGTGCTCAGGCAGCTCAGCAATTGAGGGGATAGGATAGTATAGTATAGTATATTATATACAAGTCGCTGAACCAATCACCATAATCAGCCTAGGCTTTTATGAATAATAAGTAGACCTATCAAGTAGGGTTCTACAGAGATCAGGTACTTAAGACTATAATTTAGGAAAAATTCTTACAAGATAGTATCTCTAAATAGAACCCCCCTTTAAATAGAGCTTAAACCACAAACAAGTTTATGACTATTTTTCATTTAACTTTTTTTCTATTTATAGTTTCATTCGCGATTAAATCAAGCGATTGGAATTAAAGGCAATTGCCCAGGGAGGTGCGAGGTGCGACGAACTCCAGCACCAACACAGCGATAATGGGACTATATTGGGGCCTAGGGGGGGTGTTTGTATGCGAATCTTGTTTACATTCAACCGAGAGTGGTCGAGCAACTCTACTTAATGCGTAGCAGGCTTAGGAACATGCCTCTTATCTTGGGGGTATGATGTGGTAAACACACCTCCAGCAAATATTCACAAAAATACGAAGTTCTATATTTAAGAATTATTTGTGAAAGTAAAACAGGTGCCTCACAAAAAGGTGGGAAGTATTTGGGGTAGGGCCTATCACCTCATGGGCTGGCTTATCAGCTCCACTCGCCAGTAAATCAAATCACATTGAGTAAGACCCGGAGATTACACTATCAGTAGTTATCAGTAGTTATAATACCTGAAATGAGCCTTATATAAAAGGGCATCGGATCAGTGTCCTTCGCAGTTCGCCATTTATTACGCAAAAGTATCATGAGACAGTTTTCCCAGCAAATAATTGCATGAGAGATCAACAGGTAAACAGTCGATAAGGAAGCCACAGGTGAGACTCAAAAGTCCCAAGCAAATATGAGGTCTAACGGGAAGGGGGGATTTGAGGAAAAACATGTGTGGAGGGGTATCATTAAATCAAGTGAATGTTTAATGATGTAAGTATTTTTTTATTGATGAGCTTCAGAACTTGAAGAGAGCTCTTGTCTTGAAATGTAATAGATTAATGTAATATTTTCAAGATATTCCATTAAGTAATAATCCCATTCAAGGCTTTATAATTAGAAAGTTATTTGTAATTTTTGTAAATTCTAGTACTTTTTACTTGTGGAATATACAAAGATATCTTTTTCTGTCAGTTCCTTTATTTATATTATTAATTTTATTTAAATCGAGGAATCTTGCGTTTCCCTAGCAACAAAAATCATTTAAGAACACAAAGAACTGGGAAGTCTTAAGTGCTAACCAAGCAGAGAAAGAAAACTGAGGAAAATCTGATATAAAAGGCAAATAATTTACATATATGTATATACTATATAATCAACACAATCATTCCATTCATATCAACAACAAAAAGCAGACAAAAAGATACCATGAGATACCAGATGTATGACTATAGGACTGTACTATAGGAGTCTATATACTATACTATATGTATATAGGACTGAACTATAGGAACCTTCCTTAAACAATGCCATTGGAAAAGTACTAACTAAAACGTAGTGTAGTACAAACAAAACAGTGTTTTATGATTCGGTAATCTTGATTTTTTGAAAATTCTTGAACTAAATTCTGAAATTTAAACTGGACTGAAATTTTAACCCAAACTTCTTAAATATTTTTAACAGGTAATGAACAAAGGAATTATTATAATTACTTTCTTTATTTTCAAAAAATTATTACTATTAATTTTCGAAAATTTAATGGAAAATTTTCACCAAAAAACTCGAATTTTTATTCAAGTTTAGTCATATATGGACAATTTTTCTTAAATCCTTCGTTTATTAACTGTATTTATCTATCCTTTAATTAAAATAAATAAATTTTAATTAATTTCAATAAGGAATCAATTTAATTTTTTGATATTCCAAAAAGATAGAAACGAGAGGAAGACAACAAATGTCACAGCAAAAGAGGCTGTTTTTTACAACATGTTCATAAGTGAAATTATAAATTATATTTTACTGATCGACACCGGCTATTATCTTCTTAAAAGTAGTTTCCAATTACGTAAGTAATTAATTAATAATTAAGTAATTTCTTAGATTCTAATCTAAAAATCTTCCTAATTAATTAAGTCTTTATTTATAATAGATCTCTTTGTATAACAAAAACTATAAAAATACAGGCCTGAATCGCCACAAAGAGGCTTACAAAATAGGGTGAAATTTCACAAGTGGGTTGCAACTGGAAATCAAAATACGGATGAAACGTGATATCAAAACAATTGCAAAAAATAACAAAAATAAAGATATGGGAAACGTCAGCGTAATAAAGACAAATTAATGTAATTAATCTCCAGTTGCGGCTTACAGTCTAAAAATAGAATGTAAATGACTCGTAGATCAACTATAATAATCAGAGATGGCTGATATTTAATAGACTTTATACAATAGAGGGCGGAAAGGGTAATTATTAAAAAAAAACTGCAGTTGCTGTATTTCCTATGACACACTTTTCATCAATCTACCTAACAGTTAAGGTCTTCCGATATGTACACGAGAACTTGATTAATTTATTGAGTTGATTGCATATTTACTTTCGTTTTCATGTTTGTTTTTGTTTTTATTTTGCGATTCGAGAAACGAGAGAGAGCGAGAGAGCAAGAGAGCGCTGTTATCACTCGACGATTATTTTCGTGATTCGTATATCGTGCTTAGAGATGACACATTTTAAACGCCGCTATTCACCATGTGGTGAGATGGATACACGTGCCGTTTCAGCTGTTTTTGTTGTTCTTTTCAATATTATTGTTTATTCTCTTTTGCTGATCGGCAGAACACTTGCTAATGGAAATAGTGGGAGTGTTTTTTCCATCCGCGACCTCTTCGACGGCACACGTCAACGGCAACTGGCTACTAGTGTGGAAAAATAAATTTCAGTTGCCAGCCTTCTGCAGTGCTGCTGCAGTCGACGTAAGCAGCGGCTTGGGGGGCCAAAACAAGAATTGAAACTAAAACCTATTTTTTTATAGAAAACTGTTAACATTTGTAGTCACTATCTACTAACAGTCTATGGCTATGCCCCCTTCTAGATGCTTCTATTGGTCAGTCTTTACTTCCTAATTAGTTCGATTTGCATAGAATGTCAGAAGTGAGCAGAAATATATTTGCATATCCATTTAAAGTGGCAGAAAACGCTTTCGAAAGCAAAGCAAATTCAGAAACTCCCGCTTGACAACAAGCCCGGCACCCAAACGTTTAAACTTTTAACTTTTTCCAAAGAAAATAAAAAACGGGAAAAATTAGCCACACCTTTTTTTAGTGTGTGTTTTTCTTGCTTTTCCGTTTTTTGCTCTCTTTTGTGCTTTCGTTGGGGGACGACAGACAAGGGGGGGAGGAGGCGGTGGATAAATAAACGACACAAGCGGCTGACCTTGACATTTATTTTTAGTTGAGAAAATATTTTACTTTTTCTCTCGTTTATTACGACACCCACCGAAACAGATGTGCAATTAGAGCTTGGACAATAATCGAGAGCATATACTGAGTATCAAGTATTTCGCATTTCTCTTTGGGCCCTGCTTCGCGCAGAAGGCAGAAGGAAACAAACAAAAATAGGTACAAACACCGGCAATTCGGGGGGCCAGCCTTTCCTCGATTGCATAATAAAAGCAATACAACGGTGAATAATATAAAATAACATAAGAGAGAACGAAATAAAATTGTTTACTCTGTTATGCAATGCCTTCGATGGTTCTGCCCCTGTATCTAGTATCTGTCAGATACAATTTTGTAATCTTCGGCGGGCATTAGCATAACGATAACAGCGTACGAAGGAGAAAAACCACAACAGAGCGGAAAACGTGTTTTCCCCACCCCCCTCTCTGTGTTTGTTGTCGCCTTGCACTCGTTTTCATCAGCTGCCTTTCTGCCTCTTCTTGTCTTCTCCTTCATTCCACGCACATTTGTTTACCAACAGAAACACAACAAACATAACACACACACAGGCAGAGGCACACGCACACGTGCGTGTTGGGACTTGTCTGTCTATTATTTTTAAGACGCAATTGGACAATCGGAAAATAAGCCAAAGAGGAATCCGAGATCAACAGAAAACGTGACTTTTTTTGGAAGGAGATCTGTTATGAAAATCTTGTATCATTAAGATGTATCTTTTAGTTCTTAGAAGCTCCTAAAACTTAAAGCCACCTTTTGCACCCAAGTTGATCCCCCTTTTAATATATATTCTAGCTAAGCCCACCTATATGTAACCCACATCGAGATACAATTACGTCACTCACCTTCCAGGCATTGACTTTGGGCGGTGGGGCGGCTATGAATCGCTTTGGGGGCGGGGCAGCTCCGGCAGCACCTGCCGCCTTGTCGCCCGTCTGCTGATCTCCGTCTCCGGACTTGGCCTCGTTGCCGCTGCTGCCCGCCTCGATGCTGGCGCTCGGCGAGGTGTCCTTGCGATCCTTGTGTACTTTCTGGCCACCGGCAGCCGCGGCATTGGCTCCGCCGGCCGCAGAACCAGCTGCACCCAGTTTCCGGGGGCTGCCGTTGCGAGGAGCCCGCGGACGGACTGTCTGCTTGCGATCGCCGGGTGCCGAGTCAGTGGGTCCTCCTTGTCCTCGTCGTCCCGATTGCTGTTGCGATTTCTGACCAGGGCCACCAGCCGGCTGTTGATCTCTTGGCTTTTCCTTTCGAGCCTTTTTGCGATCCCGTCGATGGTGCGACACCACCGGCACAAAGTCGTTATTGTCGTCCAGTTCCGATGAGTTCTCGGCGGTGTTGTCGCCGCCAGAGGCAGCGGCACGCTTCTCACCCGCCAGCGTGGGTCCAACGCTTCCGACCAGCGATTCTCCGGCGGCTTCGGCGGCCGCGGTTTCCTCGCTCCACGACTTGAAGCTCTTCAGATTGGGCTGGTTCTCTTTGTTGTCCACGGCGGAGGAGGTGCTGGGGTTGGCGGCGGCGGCGGCGGCGGCAGCAGGGCCCTTCTTGGTGTCCAGGTTCTGCACCACGTTGGCATAGGAAGTGGTAGCTGCACCCTGCACTGGAGCAGCGGCTCCCGTGGAGGGAGTAGTCTCCTCCTTGCTGGACATGCTCCTCGGTGGTTCTACTCCTTGGCCTCTTTTCGTCTCGGTCTCCTATCCAGAGTAGGCAGCAGATCGTCTCCTGCTGCTGCTGCTCCGGCTTCTTCGTCGGCGAATGCTCCTCGTCGCTGGGTCTGGAAAACTCTTGGCTGCTTCCGGGCCTGCTCAACGGGATGCGGAGGTGCGAAGTTTCCAAGCTGCAAGAGAAGCTCTAGTTAGTCATAGAAGTGTACTGGTACTGGGATTACAGGTTGGATTCAATAGATCAGACCCTTTGAGGAGATTATCTCTCAGAACCTATAAGGGAGGTGTTATCTAACATCCTTAAAGGATGTATTAAAATAAATTTTAAAAAAAGGTTCTTATTGGGGAGTCAGGTTGTGTCGCTTAGGCAGCTTCTACTGTACTCTAAGGTGACAGTTGTGTTATTGTTACTGTGAGCTGAGCCTATTGCTTAAGCTTTCAGTTTTTGTGACGAAATCAGATTGCACCGAGATTGTAATATTTATATTACACCACAACGCACACATACACTGCTGCACTTTGAACTTTTCGCTTATTTTTTTTGATTGAGAAGGTGCGGATTGAGGTGCTCCCTAGGAGTGCGGCTCACATTTAGGAACTGCCCATGACTCTGGTTTGGAAAAAGGCTTTTCCTCGCGATGACACGCTGCTCGGCGAATTTGATTTTTCCACCGATTCCACGGTATTAAGAGAACCAACTAATTCGTAATGAGGCACGACCAATCGAGATTGAGGCGAGGCTGGCGAATATATGTATTATATTATTATGCAGCAGCCACAGCACCAGGCAGAAGAAGAAGAAGTGAGGTTAGGTTAGGTTCCGATGTGCAAAGAGGAAGAGCAGCAACAAACGCTGCCAGAACTGGCGAAACGAACTGCCCACTTGCTACCTCCACCGTTATGTTACAGAAACAGCTGATCTGGGACTGCAGCTCGCCTCGAATTTCAAAATCGTTGCACGCGGTCACACACACATATGCAGGTAATCATATTTTATTTAATACGCACCAGAAATCAAAACGGAAACTCTGCCGATTTGATAAACAAATTCCACTCGCTCCACACACGTATTTTTAATTCACTACGCACTTTGGGTCGTAGGGTGTGTGTAAGTATGTGTTGTTTTGTTATTGTTGCTTTTGCTGTTGCTTTTGCGGGTTTTCTCGCACACACACACTTCGCACTCTCGTCCGATAGCTCGCTTTCGCTCACACGACCGTGTTGTTCCGTTGCGCTCGCTCTCTCTCGCTCGCACTCACTCACGCGCTGCTGTGGGGCAGAACGTTTTGGTTACGAATATATTTCCCGAACTTAACGGATTTCCTCACAATCGCGGTCTGCTTTCACTCGTACTTGGGGCCGTGCACTTGAATTTCGTGAATCGATCGAAGCTAATCAATTAGGAGGAGCATTATCCGGCGAAAAGAAAATCAAAATCTCGGTTACCAGACATGTGGTTCTACGGACGAAAAGAAAAGGAAGCTCAAATTGTATTTTTTAGTACATTTGCCGCGAAAGGTCTTTTTTTTCGGTATTTGATATGGTCACATCGTTGATAAAAATACCGCAACAGCTCTTAGCTTTTGGTTTAAATAATTTTTTGGATATAAAGTTGACTTAGAAAGTAATATGTTTTGTTTTTCTTTTTATTATTTAAAATAATTAAGTACCTCTCTGTAATTAAAAATTCTTTTTTGAATTCAATTTGCCACCACTGTCATCTCTAACGGAAAATAACGTTCGTTTTTTATACCCTTACATGGTGTAATATAGTTTTCTCATCTAATCTATTAAAGATCTATCTAATCTATAAATGGGTGTATTTCTCCACAAACTAGTGAAAAAATTTGAAAGTTTTTTTAATTTAAATCTTTTTATTAGTGAAATACAAACTAGTGGTATTTCTAAGTGGTTCCTATGGACTAATCCTATGGGATTCTGAAGGCAAATAATCTTAAAGGAATTTGATATCTATTCTCTATTAATGTGAAAGAAAACCTAAATTTTTAGAACCCGATTTTCAAGAAAAACCCCCTTAGTGTATTAATATCCAATTGGAAAGTCTTAAAACTAATTTATTTGTAAATCCAATAAGGAATAAAAGAAAGAAGTCTTTTCAAAGGAAATAAGGAAATATATATATTTAAATTGCACATCCACACTAAGTAATTGCTTTACAAGACAAACGAGACAAACAGTAGGGGGTTAACAGGTTCGGCTTGGGCCGAGGGGCACAGTGGGTTAAGTTGAGAAAGGCCGGATGAACATCCGCGCGAATACAAAAAGATTTTAGCTTAAGTCTACGGGGTCGCTACCCTCTGGCAGATAATAAAATGGAATTCTTGATTATGGCGATCTGGGCCAAGAGTGCCTATTCTACGGTAACGGACTTTGCCAGATTCCTGGGGCAGTCCACGTCGCATCCTCGGAGCACGGCGATGTGGTAGGACAGCAGCTGCAGCGGGATGACGGTAAGGATACCCTGTAGGCAGTCCACTGTGCGAGGAATCTGCAACGAACGGGTGGAGAAGGACATGGTTTCTGTGTCTCCCTCCTCGCAAATCAGGATGGGTCTTCCTTTGCGCGAAGTCACCTGTTGCAGGGCGTTCATGCACTTGGTGTAAACAGGATCCCGCAGGACGATCATCAGCACGGGCATCTCATCGTCCACCAGGGCCAGGGGTCCGTGTTTCAGCTCACCGGCCAGGATGCCTTCGCTGTGCATGTACGTCAGCTCCTTCACTTTCTGCAGATTAGGATTGAGATTATTAGTCATACTTGTCATGATCTGGGTGGCAGCTCTTATCAAATTACTGGAAAAAAATTGTCAAAATATACTACTCTATTTCCTTATCATTCCTCGCGTAATATTTCTTGGAATGTCGCTATCAGGAATAAACATTATTATGGGAATAGTTCCTCCACCCTCTTCTATAATTCCATAATACTCTATTGTATTACGTTAATTGTTTTGTTTACTTTAGTTATAGTAATAAATTAATTGAAAAATATTCCTCACCAAGGCTCCCTCCAGACAGGTGGCAAAGTTGAAGCCCCTGCCCATGATGAGCAGCGACTTGTGCTGGTAGAGCTCCTTAGCCAACTCCTGCACCTGCGAGTTCAACTGGAGAACAGTGCGGATGTGCTCGTCCAGCTGCGAGAGACCGGAAATTATCTCCAGCCTTCGCTGCTGGAGCGAGAGACGATCCTCCGACATGACCAGCGCGAACATCACAAGGGAAATGAACTGCGAAGTGTAGGCCTTGGTGGAGGCTACACCGATCTCGGGTCCTGCGTTGATGTGCACGCCACAGTGCGACTCCCTGCAGATGCTGCTGCCCACTGTGTTGGTGATGCCGACGATCAGGGCTCCTCTCTGCTTGCAGTACCGGAGCGCCATCAGGGTGTCTGCTGTTTCGCCGGACTGCGAGATAAAGAAGCACACGTCGTCCCGGAAAATGGGAGTGTTCCTGTCCAGAAAATCAGAGGCCAGCTCCACAACGACGGGCAACTCCGTGAGCTCTTCCAGAAGCTGTCTGGTGGCTACGGCGCTGTGGTAGGACGTGCCACAGGCGATGAGCATCAGGCGGCGGCATCGCTTGATCTCTGGGATGTACTCCTTGATGCCTCCCAGTACAACCGACTGGGTATCGAACCTCATCCGCCCACGCATGGTGTTCACCACGGATTCCGGCTGCTCGAAGATCTCCTTCAGCATGAAGTAATCGTAGTTGCCCTTCATTATCTGCTGGATCTCCATTTTCAGGGTAATGATTTCCCGGGCATGCGGGTCGTCGGAGGACTTGTTCAGCCGATGGATGCTGAGGGTCCCGTCCTGCTTGACGGCCGCCACGTCGTCGTCCTCAAGGTAGATGACCCGGTTGGTGTGCTCTATCACAGCTGAAGCATCGGAGGCGAAGAAGTACTCCACTTCCTTGCGCTCCAGAGGCTGGAACTCGGCGTTGCAGTCCCCGGGAGGGATTACTTGGTAGGCCTGCTGCTGCGGCTGGCCATGGGGGCGGTGCGCCTTGGCATACATGATGGGTATGTGGTCCGTCGCGAGCTTGGTCTTGGCCTTGATTCCCACCAGCAAGGGGGATCCTCTCCGGGAGGCCACACACTCTCCGGGGAAGTGTTTGGACTTAAATGCAATGGCAAAGGCTCCCTCCAGCTGCTGAATGGCCTGCTCCACGAGTTCCCCAAAGGTGTAGCCCGGATGCTGCTGCCACAGGTGGTGGACCAGCTTGGCTATCACCTCGGTGTCCGTGTCGGACTCAAAGACGTAGCCGCGCTTCTCGAGGAGTGTCTTGACGTCCTTGTAGTTGGTGATGATGCCATTGTGCACCACCACAAAGCTATTCTCCTGGTCGGAGCGCTGGGGATGCGAGTTGAGCTCGGAGGGCACACCGTGGGTGGCCCAGCGAGTGTGGGCTATTCCAATGTGTGTGTCTATTGGCTGCGTGTAGCCTTCGCCCCGACAAATCTCCGCTATGGCATCCTCCAGGACCTTGACTTTGCCCGTTCTCTTCACCATGACAATGGAATGGTTGTCCGGCGGCGCATTTGGATCATCGATGGCGATGCCCGTGGAGTCGTAGCCTCGGTACTCGAGCCGCTTCAGACCCTGCAGCAGGAGATCCAGCACCTCCTGCCTCGACTTGGGCGTCAGGTAATTCAGGTAAGCGAATATGCCACACATCGCACTTCTTTCTTGTCACTTTTTTTCTGGTGTTTTTCCACGTCGTCGCTTCTTCTCGGCACCTAAACTGCGAGCTTTCCGGTCAGCTGAGTAGCTGATTTTACGTTCTGCCCTTCGCCGCTGCTGCACTGCGACTTGTCGTTTATTATCGCGACAGTTGCTGGAACTTTTCGTTGTTTTTCTCTGATAAATAATTTGCCCAAAAGAACACGTATTTGTGTTTCTCTCCCCTTCTCAATGTAAACATAGCCCAGGGTTGCCAGATGGTTACATCCGAATGCCGTCCACGCCCGCCAAAATGAGTTGGGTTTGAAAACTCGCTCGGATAAGCTTGTGAAAAGTCCCCTCTCCCGACCTTTTTAAACATTAAGACAAGGCGAATGCTGTCTTGCTGGTGCCTAGATAAAAATAAGCGGTAGAAACGGTTATATTTTCGATTTGGACTATAATTGGAAGATTTGGGAGTATTGGGTTTACCAAGTATAATCTTTTTAAAAAAAGTACGTATAGTATATATGAAACCTCTTTATTAGAGCCCTTTAATGGTTTCTTTTTTTAATTTTTAACTATAATTTTTGTAAAATAAAAAAGGGTTTGGAAAATTTTCGATAAAGCCCCCTTTCTATGATATTTATCGGAAGGAAACATCGATACATCGGTATCTAAGTTGATGTTGATAACCAATTTTTTTTAATTTGAAAATATGGTTTCAAATATGTAGGTTTTTTCCAGTTTTCTGTTAAAGTTTTTATTTTTCTGGAAAATTCTTAGAAAACTATTTATATATTTTTCAATAAGCTTTAAATTCAATATTCATAAGTTGAACAGGTCTTTAAAGTCTTAGTACCCTTCCAGAGGGTATTATAATTTTGCCCAAAAGGGTGCAAGATAGTGAAGGAGACTTCTTCGACCCTATAAAGAATATATTCTTGATCAGGATCACCGCCTGAGTTGATATAAGCATGTCCGTATGTCTGTTTCTACGCAAACTTGTCTCTCAGTTTTAAAGCTATCGACTGGCTCGCAGTATATAAGGCCGGGATCGGCCGACTATATCCTATAGCTGCCAGTCAGTTGATCTGACCTACCAAATTTCATAACGATCGGCCGACTATATCTTATAGCTTCCACATAACTGAACGATCGGATATGGTATTTTTACAAAACACCAACTTTGATATTTTTGACGGTAGAAGCTTGGGATTTTTTTTTAGATTTTGGGTTGTAATAAATATGTTGTATTAAGATATTCTCATAAGGATCGGCTAACTATATCCGATGTTTGCACGGCTACGGCTGCACCCCACTGTCCTGAATTAAAAAAAAAATATTTTAACCTTTGAACTTGTCGCCAAAGCTTACTAAGCTTATTATTTTTCTATGAGTTCCAAGAAAAAAACTCACCGACTGCTCTAAATTATTTGCAGGAAACAGTTGGGAAAATCCCTCCACATCAGTATCACCAATTCTCTGAATTTTTTTTAGTTCAGAACTATTCTGCCCCCCATTATCTATGTTCTTAAGCTCAGCGGGGCAACTATAGAATTCGGGAATGCGGGCCTTCGAGGCAACTATAGAATTTGGGTACCGATCAGTCGTGCCTTCAGCTTACTGAAAAAATGTTGGGTTTGAGATTTTCGATTCTGGCGATCTGCCTAGTTCTGAGCCTGCAATGGATTGGTCCTGTGGATTCCAAAATCTGCCAGACCCATGACAACAAAACGGGAACATGTCAGAGGGTTCGAGATTGTCCGGCTCTTAAATCTATTTCAGATAAGTTAATAAATAAAATCCCTCTAACCAACAAGGAGGAAATACTGCGAAATTGCGTTTTGCCATGTGAAAAGGTAAGTTAAGTGAATATAAGAATAAATGTCTAACTCAAGCTCTCCCTAGCAATACACGCTTTGCTGTGAAGAATCCCTTAATCCTGACGGATTAAAATTGCTGAAGGAAAATGAATCCATTTGCGGTAGTTTTGGTGAACCAAAAGATCGCACGAAATACCGGCCATGGACGGCCTTACTCGAGTACTACGACGACCTACAACATGGGAGACGGTTTTATTGTGGTGGCACTCTGATTACTTCGAGTAAGTTCTATTAGTTAGTAAGTTCTAGTTAGTTCGAGTAAGTAAGTTGTTTTTTATTTATTTTATTTAACAGAATTCGTCTTAACGGCTGCGCAATGTATAAAAGACAACTTGTGAGTAAAAGTCGAATAACTAAGACAAAACCCTTACTATATTTAAGAATACCATTTTTTCTAGGGTATCCGTCCGTCTGGGAGAATTCGCTCTTGGCAAGACCCCAGACTGTCTATTATTAGGCAATCATACAAGATGTCTGGATAGACCCGTCGACGTTCCAATCGAAAAGGTGTTTGTCCACGAAGGATTTGAAGAAAATATCAAAAATGTTCGGGTTTCGAACAACATAGCATTAATCCGCCTAAAAGACCCAGTCCAGTTCAACGATCTTATTGGACCCATATGCCTGCCGGTGTCTCCAGATCTCCAATTGGAGAGTCAGACCGTGAAATCACTGGATGTATTCGGCTGGGACTTGATGATGCAACTGAATGGTTATATCCCCAGATGGCCACTCTACGAACTGCTGGAATCAACCGCATGCAATATCCAAGATGAGAAGAAAATTTGCATCAGAAACAGCGAGTCCTATAGATACAGGGGTGATGTCGGAGGAGCACTAGTCTATCCGAGCCAATACAATGGCAGACAGCTGCTGGTGCAGGCGGGAATTGTTAGCGTCGATATAGTGGAACGGTCCGATAGGTCGCTAACAGAGGGTACTGATGTGTCTGATTTTATGGGTTGGATAACCGAAACCATTGCGAAGAAGGATTAGGCTTTAATTTTGCCACGAAACAAAATTGTCTGCCTTTTAGGCGATTAAATACATTTTTTCATTGCATAAAATAAGTTTTAATTATTAATTTGGAAAGAATTTTGTATGGATGGAAGGCTTTCGGACTATCCCTCTTCGCGTATGATATAAAGAGGATTAAGAAGATTGAAAGAGAGCCGAGAGGGTCCATTATAGTCCGCAAATAATACCTCAAGAGGGTATTTCTACGTTAAACTGCAATGGCTTTAAAATAGAGGACTTGAGGTGTTCAAGCATTGAACACGATTTTAAATACAAATTCCGAAGATTGAGTTTCAAGGGATTGGACCCATGGAAACAAGAGAAAAACAGCATGGTCTAAAACCGATCCCCTGCAGTTTAACACAAATACATACATAAGTGGTGCGTTTATCATTAGTTGTAAATAGATTTAAGATTTTCATTTATATTTCTTATAAGAAAATTGTACGAAATAAAAACTGCTTCCAAAAGGACCTCATTAGAGTAAGATCTATTATTTGGGGCTCCTCTTAAGACTGGGAATATTAAATTTCAAGCCTTTACTAGCTAGATTTTCATAAAAGAGCCTCAAAAACCGGGAAAATTTGGTAAAAAGCCAATATTTTTAGATTGTTTTAAAATTGGTCTAAAAGTCGTTTAAGAATTTACGCTTCAAAAAACGGAGGGTAATAAAAAATAAACCAAAAATGTATTTATTTATAAAGGGCTAACAGATAAATAAAATTATGAGATAGCAATAATGCTGAGCAATGGCGACTTGGGCTTTCAGTTCGAGTTGTACATATGTAATAATAGTTTTAGGTTTTCTATACATAGTTTTATATATTATAGTTTATTTTCTTAATATAGTGTAGCTTAGATAGGATAAACTTATATGCGATGGTATAAATTTGTGTTTCTCAGGAATTGTAGAATTATTTATATGTTTGGTGGTGTGGGGTTGGAAAATGTTTCCAATGGGTTGGTGTTTGTAAGTAGTGGTGTTGCAAGTAGAATGTAAGAGTGTTATTGATACAATATCGTTGCAGAATGTGCAAGTCTGAGTCTTGTTATTTTTATTTGGCCTAAACGTAAGAGGGCTGGGTGGTTGTTTTTGGGAATGTGGTAGCTGTTGAGTTGGAGATGGTTAGTTGATTGGTACCTGGCTGATGTCTTCGTCAGCATGATAGTTTTTTTACTTGGTTTTTACTTATTGTAAGTCTTTTGTGATAAGGACTTAGGGAGGATAAGGACTAAGGGTGTCCGCCAGTTCGTTACCTGGAATTCCTTAGTAGTAGGGTATCCAAAGTAGCTTAAATTTGGTGTGGAATTCTTGGAGCAGGTTGCGTGCGTGAGGAGCAGGTTGGGTGTAATTGAGTTATTACGTCAATGTCGGAGAGAGAGATGCAGCATATGCAAAATTTTCCTCATTTATTTTTTAAGAGTTCGAGTTGATTAGTATTGTGGTCGCTTTGGGGATTATTATTTTTCTATCAGTTCCAAGAAAAAACAAGAAAGGAAAGCTAACTTCGGGCGGAGCCGAAGTTTATATACCCTTGCAGTTAAAACCGGATATATATCGCAAACATCGGATATAGTTGGCCGATCCTTATGGCAATAGGAATATATAATCCAATTTTTTACAATACAAAATCTAAAAAAACTTCTATCTTCAAAAATACGAAAGTTGATATTTCTACCAAGTACCATTTCCGATCGTTCAGTTATATGGCAGCTATAGGATATAGTCGGCCGATCCTAATGAAATTTGGTAGGTCGGATCAACTGACCAAATATATAATCTGTACCAAGTTCCAGCTTTCTATCTTCAAAAACACGAGTTGGGTCAAAGTTGGGTCATTTCCGATCGTTCAGTTATATGGCAGCTATAGGATATAGTCAGCCGATCCTTACGAAATTTGGCATGTCGTATTATTTTGCCAAAAATAGCTCTCATGTCAAATTTGAACTCTCTAACTCTAAAAACACCAAAGTTATACCATTTCCGATCAATCAGTTATATGGGAGCTATAGGATATAGTCGGCCGATCCGGGCCGTTCCGACTTATATACTGCGTGCAAAGGAAAGAAGGGTGTGTGCAAAGTTTCAAGACGATAGCTTTAAAACTGAGAGACTAGTTTGCGTAGAAACAGACAGACGGACAGACAGACGGACAGACGGACAGACGGACAGACGGACATGCTCATATCAACTCAGGAGGTGATCCTGATCAAGAATATATATACTTTATAGGGTCGGAGATGTCTCCTTCACTGCGTTGCACACTTTTGACCAAAATTATAATACCCTCTGCAAGGGTATAAAAACGCACCGACTGCTCTGAATTATTTCCAGGAAACAATTTGGAAAAGTTCTCCCCATCCGTATCACCAATTCTGTGAATTTTTTTTTAATTCTGAACTTTTCTGCCCCCCATTATCTATGTTCTTAAGCTCAGCGGGGCACCTCCGAGGCATTTATTAAATTCGGGTATCGATCAGTCGTGCCTTCAGCTTACTGGAACAATGTTGGGTTTGAGATTTTCGATTCTGGCGATCTGCCTAGTTCTGAGCCTGCAATGGATTGGTCCTGTGGATTCCAAAGTCTGCAAGACCCATGACAACAAAACGGGAACATGTCAGAGGGTTCGAGATTGTCCGGCTCTTAAATCTATTTCAGATAAGTTAATAAATAAAATCCCCCTAACCGACAAGGAGGAAATACTGCGAAATTGCGTTTTGCCATGTGAAAAGGTAAGTTAAGTGAATATAAGAATAAATGTCTAACTCAAGCTCTCCCTAGCAATACACGCTTTGCTGTGAAGAATCCCTTAATCCTGACGGATTAAAATTGCTGAAGGAAAATGAATCCATTTGCGGTAGTTTCGTTCGACCAAATGCTCTCCCGAAATACCGGCCATGGATGGCCTTACTCGAGTACGACGACCAAAAACATGGGAGACGGTTTTATTGTGGTGGCACTCTGATTACTTCGAGTAAGTTCTATAGAACCAATGTTTAATTGCCTTTTACAACTTATTTGTTTTTCTTTTAATTTTATTTAACAGAATTCGTTTTGACTGCTGCGCAATGTACAAAAGACACCTTGTGAGTAAAAGTCTAATAACTAAGACAAAACAGAGCTTAATTTAAGATTACCATTTTTCCTAGGGTATCCGTCCGTTTGGGAGAACACGACCTGGGCAAGACCATAGACTGTGTGTTCTTTGGCCATCATAAAACATGTATGGATAGACCCGTCGACGTTCCAGTCGAAAAGGTGTTTGTCCACGAAGGATTTGAAGCAAATATCGAAAATTTTCGGGTTTTGAACAACATAGCATTGATTCGCCTAAAAGACCCAGTCCAGTTCACCGATCTTATTGGACCCATATGCCTGCCGATGTTTCCAGATCTCCAATTGGAGAGTCAGACCGTGAAATCACTGGAGGTATTCGGCTGGGACTTGATGATGCAACTGAATGGTTATATCCCCAGATGGCCACTCTACGAACTGCTGGAATCAACCGCATGCAATATCCAAGATGAGAAGAAAATTTGCATCAGAGACAGCGAGTCCTATAGATACAGGGGTGATGTCGGAGGACCACTAGTCTATCCGACCCAATACAATGGCAGACAGCGTTGGGTTCAGGCGGGAATTGTTAGCTTCGATATAGGGGAACGGTCGCTAACAGAGGGTACTGATGTGTCTGATTTTATGGGTTGGATAACCGAAACCATTGTGAAAAAGGATTAGGCTTAAATGTTGCTACGAAATTAAATTGTGTGCATGTTTGGCGCATAAATGCATTTTTTCATTGAATAAAATAAGTTTTTAATTATTAACTTGGAAAGAATTTTGGATGGATGGAAGGCTTTCAGACTATCACTCATGCGTATGATATAAAGAGGATTCAGAATATAGAAAGACAGTCGAGAGGGTCCAAATTAGTCTAAAAGTCGTTTGGGAATTTACGCTTCAGAAAACGGAGAGTAATAAAAAATAATTATAATTAAAAATTAATTATAAATGAATACAAATTACAAGTAAATTGATAGGTAATTTCAAAATTTCATTCAACCGCAAAACCACATCAGCCAAAAATGGTTTAGTATTTTTTTTGAATCACGAACGGCCACACCGCTGTCAATGCTTGATTAATTGACCGAGTTGGCAGCTTCTACATTGTGCAACGCGAAACGAAGCAAAGAATTGAATAAAAAAACGTATTTAGAAAGATAAAAATATCGGCGATAAAATGACGGTAAACAAGCGCGACGCGAGCGCTTCGCGTCCGCGGTGCTTTTTTGACATTTCGCTTGGCGGCTTGGCGGTGGGCCGCATCGTGTTCGAGCTGTTTGCGGATGTGGCGCCGAAGACGGCCGAAAACTTCCGGGCGCTGTGTACTGGCGAGAAGGGGGTGGGCCTGGTCACCGGCAAGAAGCTCCACTACAAGGGAGTCATTTTCCACCGTGTGGTCAAGGACTTTATGATCCAGGCGGGCGATTTCAGTGCGGGCAATGGTACCGGCGGCGAGTCCATCTATGGCGGCACCTTCGAGGGTAGGTTCATGTGTGTGTATGTATGCGTGCATGGGGTTTGGAAAAAAATCAATACAGTAGAGTCCAAATTAGAAGGATCATTCCAGCATAACGGGAAGTTCTATCATGCCGGGGTTCTCTCATAGAGAGACTCCAAGATTGAACTTTGAACCTTCATTATTATAATCGAAAAATTATATATATTTCTCAACTATTTCAGATGAAAGCTTTGAAAAGAAACACGACCGCCCATTCCTGCTGTCGATGGCAAACAGAGGAAAGAACACCAATGGTGCCCAGTTCTTTATGTAAGTGGCCTCGTTTCAGGTACAAATCCGGGCACATCATCCGGTCTATAAATATGGTTTCAGTCTCGTTTTCAGCCAAAGTTTCAGCAAGAAATAAACTCTCCTTTTATTTTGTATCTATTTAAACGTCTGTTGTTGTTCATTAATCTATATAGCCATTTAGCCGGTAGCATATGACCAGCACCCGACTGATCCATCGAGAACCAGAACCGCCGCCATCACCGCCGATCGATCCATCGCCATGCACGACCACCCTCGCTCATGCATTTGGTTAGTGGTAGCAGTGAGAGATGGATGGAGCCGGGCCGGCTTGGTTCTCAGTGCTCCCTCTTATTTCGCTCCCTGGTGTTTGTGGTTACCTGGGTGCTCAGTCTCTCCTGAGACTCTCGGCAGTCTCTCTCCCTGGACTCTGATCTGAATCCTGACGGGTGTCTATCGCCGGATCCGCCCTGTGCCACGTGATGTGTATTCGGTGCATGGCTCTCGTGGCTGGTGGGCGTTCCACTACACCTCTAAATCTCTTAGTTTGTTGCACCATAAACCGACAAAACCTACAGCTACCGAACCAACAAATCTACAACCAAATGTCTTCTGCAACCAAACCAATCAAGTGAAAAGCAATGTGTAAAGAATTTTTTCTCTTCTTCTGTTTCTCATTGTAGTACAACACAGCCTGCGCCACATTTGGACAAGTAAGTGGTCTTCTATTCTAAATCTTATAAATTATACTAACTATTGCCCTCGTTCCAGTATCCATGTTGTATTCGGTCACGTTATTTCCGGCCAGGAGCTAGTGCGTCAATTGGAGGAGCTGCCTATCGACCGGAACTCACGCCCGCTGCAGGATGCGGCCATTGCCAACTGTGGGGAATTGGTTAGGCAGATCAAGGGTAAGAATCCTTCAAGGACTCTCTAAAATTAGTATACTAACTAAACTAATTTGTAGCCAAAAAGGAAAAGAAGCGAAGGAAGCGCTCTGTTTCCACTGACGACTCCAACAGCGAGGAAAGCGAGGAGGAAGTAAAGGCCGCCAGCAAGGACTCTAAAAAGAAGAAGCGCAGCCGCAAAGAGTCCAACTCGTCCGAGAGTGAAGAGTACGAGCCAAACAAGCAATCTTAATTCTAATTTTAATAATTAAATTGTGGAAAATTCAACTTTTCTTGTAGCACTGACGCCCGTCGTGGAAACGGCCGGCATGAGCAGCCTCTTCCGGAGGATGACGAGGAACGGGAAGAAGGGGAACTGCATCCGCTGGTCACTGTTACAAAAATAGACCCCAACGATATCCCAGAGGTAGGTGGGGATGCTTTCTCCCTGTAAAGTGGATTCATTTCTATGTTTCTCCTACAGGTCTCTAACAAATTTCTGATGCGTGGCGACAGATCTCGATCCCGAGATCGGGATGATCGCGGAGGTCGTGGACACGATCGTGACAGGGGCAGGGGGGACAGGGATAGGGAGCGGGACCGGGAGCGCAACCGAAATGCCTTCGGTTGGTCAAAGAAGCAGGCGCCGCCATTGTCACGCAGCGGGCGCATCGTCAAGGGACGTGGAGTGTTTGTAAGTCTTGACTTTAATGGGAGATCTTTAAATATTTCTAAAATGGTATTTGTATTCAAGCGATTCCGCACACCATCTCGCAGTCGATCCCGGAGCACAACGCCACCGCACTGGAAGCATGCCCAGAAGCGCACCATCAAACTAGCGGATCTGGAGCGCATCGAGGAGGAGTCCAAGATACGCGACGAGGAGGTGAAGCGACGCGAGCTAGAGCGCAAGCGGCGTCACGATGAGGCATCCAAGAATCCCAAAAAGTCGTTCTTTGAGCTGCCACATGCGAGCACTTACGGAGAGAAGTCTCCGGACAAGTCCTCTTCGGATCAGAAAGGAAAGGGAGGGACTAGGGACTCCGCCAAAGACACTGAGAAGGAGAAGGAAGGGGAGAAGGAGAAACCAAAGCCAGAGACGCCCAACAAACGGCGCAAGTCCGTGGACATGAATGCTCTGGACTATGAGCAGCAAACGGAATCCGAGCCGGAATCCGAAGCCGAGGAGCGGGAGAAGGAGAAGCCAGCCCCCAAGCTGGAGAGCAAGGTTGAACTGTCTGCTAAGCAGGACCGTTTCTCGAAGCGAGACGATAACAAGCCCGACGACAAATTCAGGTCCAAGCGGAGTCGGTCACCCATCCGACGACCGGGACAGAATCCCAACCAACACCAGAATCAGAATCAAAGTCAGTTCAACCGCAATCGCCGCAATCCCTTCGCTGACAGGGATCGTCGCAACCGATCCCGATCGGGCGACAATGAGTACAGGAGTCGTTTTCCACTGTCTCCAATCAGGAACAGGGACTCGCCAAGCGGCGATCGTCGCAGGCAGCAGCGTTCCCGCAGTCGTGGCCGTAGGCAAGAGTCCCCCAATCCCAGACGCCAGGAGTCGCCAGTCAGGAAGCCGCAGGACTCCCAAAGCCGGAAACATCAGGAGGAAGATTCGTTTGGGAAAAAGCGCCAAGACTCGCCCGGCAGAAAGCGCCAGGATTCTTCAGGTAGAAGACCTCAGGAGTCTCCGATTAAGAAGCGGGAAGAGTCCCAGACTAGGAAACGTACAGATTCTTTAAACAAAAGGAACACGGATGCCCAACCCAAGAAGCGACAGGACTCCCCGAACCGAAAGCGACAGGATTCAGCGGGAAGGAGACAGGGATCACCTGATAAGAAGCGCAAGGATTCGCCGGATAGAAAACGTAAGGACTCGCCAGACAGAAAACGTAAGGACTCGCCAGACAGAAAACGCAAGGATTCGCCAGAAAGGAAACGCAGGGATTCCCCCGAGAGAAGACGCAGAGACTCACCCGACTCGAGGCGCCGGGATTCTCCAGGCAGGAGGCGCAGGGACTCGCCTGGACGACGGCGAAGGGATTCCCCAGGGCGTAGGCGTAGGGACTCACCAGGACGAAGGCGCAGTCGCAGTCGGGGACGCCGTCACAGCTCATCGCGAAGTCCGCTGCCCAAGCTTACCTCGGCTCTGCCGCTGGACGAGGAAAAGGACAAGGCGATGGCCCGTGAGAAGATGCAGAAGCGCGTGGAGGCGGCGCTGCTGCTGAAGGAGCACATGCGCAAGGAGATCGCCAAAGAGGAGGAGAGGCGGGCCGAGAAGCAGCGCCAGGACGACTTGGAAAAGGAGCGAACCACTCGCGAGCTGAACGAACTGGAGCGCCTGAAGGCAGAGACTCTGAAGAAACTGCAGGACGAACTGCACACCTCTGAAGCTGGTCCTGCCGAAGGATCTGGCACCAAGTCATCAGCAGAGGCCAAGTCCGAAGGAGCTCGCGGCAAACGCGACGCAAGTCCCGAGGATCGCCATCGGGACAAGAAGCGAAAGCATAAAAAGTCAAAGAGGTCCTCTGCGCGCTCGGACTCGGAATAAGATGCATATGTTAGGAAGCGGAAAAATATCCTAGACAGTAATTGATCCTTAGTAGCAGTTAGCCCTCTTTTTTTCCAACATCTCCATACTATTAACACTTTCAGACAAAATTGTAAAAATCACTTCACCCAAAACTTACTGAAGAGCGTTCAATAAAGGTAAACTTCACTGTAGTTTATAAAAAAAAAACAAGGGCTTGACTTTTGATGGGATTTAATATTTGGCAATCTTTGATGTGTGTTTTGAGTCGTAATCTTTCCAAATCCATCTCAAGGATATTTTCTAAAGTATATATCCAAGTAGAACATAATAGAATAATGTTGCATGATATATTCTTATATCTGTAATACAGATTAAGAATATATACACTTTAGATTCTGTATGCACTTTCTATATTAAGTTTAAGATATTTAAGTCAAGTGTTTTTCTTTCAAATTTATTTATCAAAGAAATGTATCTTTTTAAGCAATACTTCCTTGCAGGACTATATATTTAGACTAAGGAAAGGACCTGCTTGAGATGACTATAGAACCTATAGTATCTATAGTATAGATTGTGATTGGATTGACAATGGCACTGGAAGAAAATAATGGATTTTTCTTAGCAGACTAGCGTTGTAAGGATTTCTTAAATCCTTATTATTACTAATTATTTTTATTAATTCAAAGCACTCAAAAGCACCTAAGAATATTAGAAATATAGATATTTCTCAAGGATATTTTCCTTTTTTAAAAAAATGTTTAACAATCTTAACTCAAATATCTATAAATATTTAAGAAGTCAATAAAAATATTTTTTTTTTTTTAAATGGTTACTTAATATTTACTCGTTACTTATAAAACTTAATCTTTAAAGTCAAAACTTTATGAAGTTAAAGTTATCATACCAGAGTTATTATTTTGATCTACAATATGTTTTCGGTTTTTTGATAAATATTTAATTTTAAAAAATATATATATTTATAATTTATAATATAGATGTTTATAGGCTACTTTTAACTTAACATCAACCTCTATCGAAAGAATGTTCTTATTATTCTGACCAGCATTGTATGTATCTTTTGATTTGTTTGTTTTGCAGCTCGCTCTCGACTCATTCATGAGCGTCGAGCTCTGCCGCAGTTAACTTTGACGTTGCCATTGAAATTTCGCAGTCTCTTTTTGCGGCATTCGTTGGCTTTGCCGGCAAGTGATGGCTCACGCGTCTCAGTCGGCGTCGCTGCTTCTGCCATTTTGGCCGCTGCCACGAAAAAGCTTTCCTATGTTAATAGTATTTGTATCTGTTAAATTGCACTGTTATCAATTCAAACTCTATCGAGAAGATACCTTGTAAAATAAACTACTAAAAAAATATTGACGAAAATAAAGGTTAAATGAATTAAAGATTTGTTTTTATGGTTTTTTTTACTGGCATTTTAACAACAAACTGCATTGATTAGCTGATAATATCACAGGACTTTTCTGTTATCTTTCACAGGACTCTTAACAGCTTTGTTTGAATAATTTAACAGGTTTTAAGACTAACAGATTTTTAAAAGAAAATTGAAAAATTGAATAAAGTTGTCCTTAGTATCTTATAATAAAGTAATGGTTTATATTGGGATTTATTTAAAGACATTACGGGAATTGTTCGCGGTGTAGATAGCGAATTCTACAAACAATCTGGCGAGCTCTCAGGAGGCGCATTAGAGCCAAAGGAGGGTTCATTTTTTATTAATTTCTATTTTATTATAAGCATTTTTGGCAATTTACATTAATTTTCTATTAAATTATGTTATGTCAAATTTCTTTGGCCTTCCACTTCAATGAAATTATGTTTTTAGTTTATAAGATGTATTTTGAAATGTAATATATTTGTTGTTTTTGCAAAAAAGCGCTGAAAAAACGCGCGCGACTTCTGCCGCCTTTGTTGGAAAACGTCAAAAAATGGAATTTCCGCTCGAAATTGCCAAACACTGGTCGCCCGTCGAACCAAAATTCCGCACTCGAACCAAGTTTGAGTTCGTCGGCTCTGTTAATTAACAGAGCTCTGTTATCAACTGCTAAGCTTCGTACAGTAAAAACACCCTGCAGTATTCAAGTTTGAGTTTTTTGAGTTTGGAACGTTGACGCACACAGACTTTGGATTCTATGGACGGAATGGAATTCAGAGTGTTTGGACGTGTTTGCTCCGGTCGCGTCGCGGGGTCGCGCTCGAGTTTCGAGTAATTTTGCCGGCGCTAGCTAATTTTGCGATTTTTGCTGCAATTTTTGTGTGTGTTTTGTTGTGTGTGCGGCAACAAACAAAAAATTAAAAGCAACCGACCGGCCACCAACAACAATAAATGCGGCATTGAATTGTATGTTTATACGTACGTGTGCGTATCTGTGTGTGGGGCTGAGTGTGTGCGTGAGTGCGAATAAGATACAAAATACAAACGTAAAACGGAAATGCAAAAAAGACAACAAAGATTATGGCGGGGGAGGAGCAGGCAACAGGAGCCGGTGCAGGCGGAACGAGAGAGAAAGTAATCGACAGAGACAGAGAGAGGGAGAGAGAGAGAGATAGAGATGGAAAGCGATAGCTAATGAAAACGAAATGTGATTCATTGGCTTTGTCAATTGTGCGAATTCCGGCATTGTTTAGTCCTGTTGAAAATAAATTATGACATAATACAACAAAGAGAAAAAGTCCAAGAAGAAGAGCCAGAGACGCCAAGTGCGTAACGTGCGTGTGTGGCGCTTGCCTTTGTATTTGTATTTGTATTTGTGCGGGGGTGGCCCGCACAGAGTCTAGAATGAATATTTTAAAATTGAGAAATTCCAAACAAACAAAGCTGCCAAAAAAAAAGGATATGATAAAGGAAACCCACAAAAAAAAACTACTCCTGTAGGCGGCTGCTTCTTATTCTTCTTCTTCACGCAACGGGCAAAAGAAAAGCCAAAAAAAACCCAAAATCCAAAAGCAAAAGGTAAAGGCAAAGCGAAGCGTAGCAAAAACAAGGAGCAAAACAGCGACTGAGACGCCGGCAGAAAAAGCTTAGTAAGCTGCGCTGCTGCTGTTGCTTCTTCTTCTCTGTTTTTTGTTTTGTTTTTGGTTTTTTTTCTTGTTTTTGCAAACAAAATGTATATGATGCCCGTTGATGTTGAAGAAGCGCAAGAAGAAGCAGATGAAGCTCAAGAACAAGCATAATAGAAGGTAGAAATTTCGAGGAAATCGAAATTTGCGTCGTTGCTGAAATTCGTTTGTTCTGCTGCTCGTCCTCAGCCTTCACCTCCCCCCCACCACCCTTGTGGCATCTTTGCGCTCTCTGTTATCCGTGCTGAGCGCCTGCTTCTGCCTCAGTGTGTGTATTTGTGTGTGTGTGCGTACGAGTGTGCCGAAATTCGTATACATGTGCAATATACGAATTTGCTTCATATAACAACAACTACCCCAATGCGATTTCCGCTACGCTTCTTGTTTTTTGCTCATCTCCCAATTTTTTCTTTATTTTTGGGTTTTGTTTCATCACTTTTTTGCAAAAGTTGTATTTATTTTTTATATAAATGCGATTTATTCGCAGATGTATATATTGTATTTTATAAAAGTTGTAAACAAAGCGCTCAACTCTCAGGGCGCTGTAAACAAATAAACGCAACTGTATACAAAACATTCGCTCGGTCCGGACCCCGGCCCCGGCCCCGGCAGCAAAAAACGCAGCACGCCCGAAGCTCAAATTCAACCAGCACTTTTTTGCATTTTCGTTTGATTTATTGAATCTTTTTTTATTTTCCACTGGCCGACCCAACAAAAAACCAATTGTCATACATATACATATATAGAAAAGTTTGTCCGTCCGACCGACATTCAGGGCTTCACTTTACTCTACTTGAGGTTTTTTTCCGATTTTTTGCAAAGCCTTTGATAGTTGAAATAGCAAATTCTGAAAAGAACAAGAACCACACGAAATATATTTTAGCATTCATTTATGCCCCGCCGAGCTTTGGTTTGCCGCGCGAAATGTATCTTCGAGATACACGCGCCTTTTGTGGAATTGAAATGTGCCCCGCCGCCTTTTATGTGGCATCATCACCGTCATCATCATTATTATTATTATTATTATGGTGATGCGTGCGTAATGGAATCGGCTAGAGGAAGAGTGGCCCGAAGAATCCGAGCTGAAGAATCTGAGAATTTATCGCAGCTTAAATCCAAACACACGCCAACAGCCAACAGCCAGGGCGAATGTAATACCAATAAAAGGATGAGGCTTAAAGGACATGGGTGGCACTTGAACTGGCTTAGAGGAAACTTTTCCCCATCTAGAATTTGTAATCTGTAATTTTGGGGAAATCCCTTAATGATTGTACCTAAAAGCATTCTAAAAAGGTATTTCAGTTTTTATGATTTTTTTAAGGGCCTCAAAAGATGTATGTATAGATGCTTAGATAGAAATTAATATTTCCAAACTTTTCCCAACAAACTTTTGTAAACTTTGCTATAAGTTTTCTAATGTATTTGTATTTTTTTGGTTTTTAAATAAACAATAAACTTTTTCCTTTTAAATTGTACAGGATGTGGAACATAATTGGGCAAATATTCATTAAAATAATGTATACCAAAGTGTGGCCATGATTGCTGAAAATTTGCAAGTTAGATTGATAGCTATTTCATCGAATTCAACCCCCAAAACGAGGCCTCACTGTCCCCTGCACACAAAAGAAAAAAAATAAATAAAATTTCACTCGGCGCTTCCATCAATTTCCCGATTTAAGCGCTGACAACAAATGACATTGGCGCCGGGCCATCATGTAGCGGGATGTTTGTGCGGACTATTAAACAAATTACGTATACGCACTGTTGCTCGCGTAAAATATTTATGCGTGTTCCCAAATATATTAGCATACTTCTGTGAGCGGGGATGGCTATGTGCGAGTGCGAGGGTGTGTGTGGGCGCATTAGATTAGTAAATAAAATGCGATGATTTGATTTTTCTCATTTTCATCCAAAAGCCAGAAATCGAAGTGAGAGAGCGAAAAATTGAAAAAAAATGACTGAGTTAACATTTCATTAATCCAAACCACATAAAAATAAATTAAAAAATTGACAAAAATAAAAAAAATATAATAATAACGCGGTTGGGCCCAAACAAGATAGGGAAACCCCCAACCCGAAAATCGGTGACAAAAAAACGTCGAATTGCAATGTTTTTGTTTCATAATCAACGCCTCTTCGTGATTGAATTGATCGAGATCCTGCTGCTGCTGCTGCTGCTAACCGACCACAATGGACGACTGACACTAACCAAGGAACCGACAACAGGTGAGTCCAATGCCAGTCCAGCTCCCTCCATAAAACACTTCACACTCCGCATTCCGAGTGCAACTCTCGACTGGGGACCCGCAAAACTTTGGGCAATAATCATAAACTAATGGCGTAACATGGCAGGCGTGTCCGCATTCCACTCCAAAGGTCTTTCAAGACTCTCGGCGGAAATACTACTGAAAAAAAAAAAAAACTTGTTGAGTTCGAAAGGGGTTGCGATGGGGTGGGTGCGGGTGCTGGTAAGGTTCGGGATTTCCACGGCCAAATCCCATAAAGAAAATCAGCAACATGAAATATTAAAGTTGGTAAAACACGCGAGAAAAGTTTTTCGGTGGCACGACTCCTTCGAGAATTGTGGCGTCAGGCAGGAGCGGCTGCCAGGCTGCCAAGCTGCCAGGCAGGATAACTACCCCTTGCCATGGCTTTGTGAATGTTTTATTTTCGGCAAACGCTCTCCGCCTTTTGGGGGTTGCTGTCCCCCCCAGGTACTCCTTCCAACTATGGCTTACAGTCTCTCCAGAATGGTCCCCTTGCATGTACATCGGCTATTGCGGGGTTATTGCGTCGTTGATTTGGCTAAGCGAGGTTATAATTCTAATTTATTGTAAGTGAACAAGTCAGCGGCATGACGGTCGCCTATCTCATTATGGGAGCCTCAGAGGAAGAGATTTGGCTTTCGGCTGGCAAATTAGAGCACCTGGTGGTTATGATTCCAACCCCGGTTCGAAAGTCACCTGCAGGATTCTCACGTTCGTTGACAACCTTTTCAATAAATGCAAATAAAAAGTTCAAGTTTTTTCTTTGATGTTTCAAATCATATTAAGGGATGGGGGATAGAAACTTGACATTTTAAAGAATAAATCGATACCGCAATATCGATCACCGCAATCGATAACAAATTAATGTTAATTTTGTGAAATTTGCGAGAAATTGCTGGATAAGATAAGATAAATGACGCGTACTCTCGGTGTATCCTGAAATCAAATTCCTGCAAATGGGAAACGATTATTGTAAGTCCGGAAGCACCCGCATGAAGCGATTCAAATGCTTCCTTGCAGCATATTGGATGTGTTTGTCGGAGTGCATGGGACAATCAATCAATCCGAGACACATCCAGCGGTCATCCCTCATTCATCAGGTCCTGTCCCTATGTTTTTCCACTCTACTGTCCCATGTCCCATGTCCCATTCCAACCTTCAACCTCCAACCACACACAATCATCAACTATTTATCCCCAATTGCTTGGAAAAATCAGTCGAAGTGCAGGGCATGGGCAAGTTCATGAGACCCAACCAGAGCAAACCGAATGCGAAAACTTTGCACACATGACAGAGCAGCAGGATGGGTGGATGGGATGGGACGATGGGTGTTGCCAGGAAATGGCGAAATGGTGGGTGGCCTGGGTTTGGGTTTGCGTTTTGGGCTGGGGGGTGCTCTGGCAAAGGCAAAAGTCCAAGTCAAACGACTAAGCGGCATGTCGTCAATAAATTTTCCATTAAATTCAAAGTAACCCAAAACAAGCAAAAGCGAAAAAAGGAAAACCTGCCAGCAGAACACTACATAACTTTTCCTTGTTACGTGCCAGTGTCTGTGTGTGTGTGTGTGTTTTTGGGTACATGTGTGGGATGTGGGAGTCCTCGTTCTTGAGTATGTGTGTTTGTTATTGGTATAGCTTCCTGCTTTCCGCTTGCCTGCCTACTTCGGCAATTGCCTTCAACTCAAGCCTCTTATTCAATTTTCGCTGGCGTGTGGCGCCATCTATCGCCCACCGCCGGCAAACAAAAGCAACACCAACAGCAATAGCAACAGCAACAAATGGCATCCAGTGTTGAAGATATTGTTGCCGGCGGCAATACACTGCAGGCTTACCATAAGCCACGGAGCTACGGAGGCAACCCACAACCCAACATTCAACGCAGCAACAACAGACATTAACAAGGTGGGTGGGGTTTACATACGTCCATGAAAGCCGAAGAGCGGTATACCCTGCTTTGAAATAGTTTAAATCGGAACTTGTCATAACAGCATTAATTTAAAGTTTAAACTTTAGTTGCTAAAATCTTTTGCCCTAAAACTAACTTTTGAAAGTTAGCAGAAAACTTTTTCTTCCAAATATTATTGGTTTATGTTCTGGGTAGAATTTTGACTGTATCCCTAAAAAAAGGATACACCTTAGGGAAACATATTAACATTTTTTGGTTATTAGTTTAGGAAGGATAGATTTAGGATAAATTTTTATTTAAATTAAGTTCCGATGCATACTGTGTGTATGAAGTATGCGAAGAATTTAATATATCTATACATATAAAGCTCATTGATTCGTTTATTATTGAAATACCCCAAATACCTAATATAGTTTTTGTAGATATATGTAGTTTAAAATATAACTTTTCTCTAATCTAATCAGACCTTTTAACTTTTTTTGGTAAAATATTTTGCCCTTAAGCTAACTTTTAAAAGTTAAGTTTTTAAAAGACTTCTGTTCTTCCAAATATTATTTGTTTATGTTATGTGTCGTTTCCCCAAAAAAAGGATATATGTATATGGAGAACACATATTAAAAGGAAGTATTATTAGATTTAGATTCTTAGATTTTTGTTTCAAAGAATTTCTGATATATGTTGTCTCCGAAAAATATTCCAAAAATTTAATAAAACCATAGAGAGGGACATTATCGATCCATTTTAAAATTGAAATACCCCGAATACCCATAAAACAAATTTTTGGGTCATGATGGGCCTTGAAAACCTTTCTATTCCCACTACCTTTCCAGTGACCATGTCTTTGGAGTCCCTTTCTGGGAGAGGGTATTACGACAGCATCAGCAATAAGTTTTCTTTTCGTATCTTTGTTGTTGTTGTTGTTGGTGGTTTATTCATATGCCAAACAGCAAATCGTTTGTGGCTCTCGATGTTGTTGTAGCTTATATTGTTGTTGTTGTTATTCTTGTTATTGTTGTTGCTATCGTTGGAAGCAACAACCAAAAAGCTGCCTCCGACTGCTCCATATTCATATGCAAATAGCAAGCCGTGGAGGACCTTTGTTCTCTTCTGATATTGTTGTTGTTCTTGTAGCTGCCTTCACATTGGTTTTCTTTTTATTGTTATTGTTTTTGTTGCTTTTTCTTTTTTTTTAGCGCGTTGGCGTCGACAGTCACTGCGTAACTGGCGCCCCAAAGCTTGATTTCAATTTTCGAGTGCTTCCTGCTGCGGTTGTTGTTGTAAAGACTATAGTCTCTCACCTCTTATTGTTGTTGTTGCAAACGCTCTGCTATTTGACATCTCAAGCAGCGTTACAACAAAACAACAAACACCCCCATCACCATCCTCGGCCAAAACGAGCTTCTGCAAAAACAGTTGAAATAACAACTTGAGGAGTCAACGTTTTCCTCCGACGATGACTGCCTGCCCTGCCGGCCTGCCAGTCTGAATGCCGGCCCGCAATAGAAAACAGAAAATCGGCTCATCCAGACCACAAATGCAAGTCCTTTCCCCCCTCTTGACTGGATGAGTGCCCCACTACGATGATGCTATGCGATGTGGCGATGGCGATGGCAATGAGCCTAAAATGCTCCAGGCGCCGGCTTAAGTTCGCCGCTGTGTGTGTGTGTGTAAGAGAGCGCATCACTGGCAGTGAAAGAGACAGCCAGTGGGATAAAGGGTTCTTGGGCCAGGCTTGGGGGATTCTAGCTGGCAGACCTGGGTGCCGGATTCTGGAGCTCCGAGTTTTAAGCCGAAAATCGCCATCCAAACAAGCTACAAAGGTTGTTACACTTGAAAATATATCAGTTTTTATAAACAAGCTTCCAAAAAAGGACGATATCCTTTAAGATGAATAGTTTTTCTTTCGAAACCCATAGCCTTGATTAAAGTTTTCACACATCCTTGACAGATATTGCCAATGGCCGACTGGTATGACATTGTTTCCGCTTTCTGGGGAGGATCCTGCGTCGCATTACTTGCAGCACTTTCCGGTTTATAGCCCCATTGAAAATCCTCACCGCTGTCCTGACAGCTTTAAACTGATTGCTCGCTGTTGGTAGCCTCGCTTTTCCACACACACACACACACACACGTATATATACTGACATATACCGACACTTTTCCCTGCAGCTGGGTTTGTGTGAAAATTCTCGGAAATCAGTTAAGTACGCCATGGACCTTTCCCCCGGCGGCTGTTCGCACTTGGCAGGAAAAGCAAAGATTTTTTTGCTTTTCGGTGGCGGAGAAAAATCTTTGGGAAAATATTTTATAAATTTCATAATCTTCTAATGGCAAGAAGAGGGTCGAAAGCGTGAAGACTGGGTGGGTGGGGGTCACTAAGACGAGGTGGCCGGGAAACATATTTTCTTCCGTCCTGACAATTATACGAAAAACATCCCCCTCCGGACGGAGGCTTTATCTGACGCGTGAGGTACCAAATAGAAGAAAAATTCTAAAAAAAATATTCTATTAGTTCAATTGCAACATTTAAATGGTTGGAGAGCTTGCTCGCTTATCTAGGCCACTAATGAGGGAAACGTTTTTCCGGAAAACGCTTCTATTTAAAAAGTGTGATAATTTTAAATTGAAATTTATTCAATTCCAGTAACAAAAGAAATCAATTTCGTGGCTCAGCCATGTGTGCTCTTATTTTTAAAAAGTTCCCAAAAGGGAAACTTAGAACTTCTGGCCAGAACCTAAAATTTCCTTATAAAACCGTCTAGACGACGGTGACGGAAGGTTTTCGGTTCCGCCTCATTGTGTGGAGCGTGTGGAAGTAAGCGGCTTCTGGGCAACAGCCAGCCAGACAAGCAGTCTAATAAAATGTCATAAAAAAAGTATTTCATTCATTACAGGTGACACATCAAGAAGCTAACCAGCCCGACTTGCCAACATAGGAACTTTCGGGCCACGCATGTGGTGTGTGATTTCCTACCCATGGTATTTTTCCGCTTGGTCGACACATAAGCATATTAAGGTCCCAACTTTAGAGTCCCCCTCCAGTCCCCCACTCAC